CCTGTCTAGACGTTCATCTTGTGCTGGGTCTCACAGATACCAGTGCCAGCCTTGGTCCAACCTAGTCCCTGCCCTAAAGAACATGGTTATTTGTTGGAAATTTTTCTTGTGCAAAATCTGTTTTCATCCATTTTAATCTTCCAAGCAGCCCAATGAGGTGGGCCAGCCTAGTGTTGTGAACTGTCACAGACAAGAAAAGCTACGTCGCCTGAAACCACCTAGCTCTTAGCCAGCGTCACGGTCAAGACCAGGCCTTTCTTACTGCGACACATGTTCTGGCCCCACCACATTGTGTTACAATAATGGGCTCAATTTTTTTTCAAGTCTGTGTAAAGGTAACTTGACCCTCTTCCATGCCCCCCCAAAAAAACCCAGCCCTCCCGTGTGCCAGCTGTCACCCTGAACTGTAGGTGTTTGTTCCCCAGTCAGACAGCTCCCTTGATAGCAAAGAGCTTTTCTATTTAACTTTTTATTATGGAAAATTTCAAACTTATACACCGTGACTGCCGGGTACCTGTGGCCCAGGTTCCACAACTATAAACCTTTTTTTTTTTCAAACCAAAAACTTTTTTTTTTTTTTTGTGGTAAAAACACAGAACATAAAATTTACCACTTTGGCCATTTTTCAGGGTGCCACTATCCTGACCTCCAGCTCTGGAGTCTTTTTCATCTTGCTAAAAACTCTGTGCAACAACAGTCCTCCAGCCCCTCTACCTTAGCTGGGGACCCCTCCTTTTCCACTTCTGTCCCTGTGACGCTGGCTGCCCTTCATGGAAGTGGAACCAGTGTCTGCCTTTTGTTACTGGCTTAGATCACTAAACATGTGCTCCTCAAGGTTCACCCGTGTTGTCCTGTGTCAGGAACCCTTTCCTTTTCTGGGCTGAGTCGTACTCCACCATGTGGGTGTTTGTGCCGCTGGAGTCACTTGGGCCGCTTCCGGCTTTCAGCACTTGTGAATGCTGTTGTGAACACAGCCTGTAACTCGTGTGTCACCTCTGTCTTCATCCGCTCCCCAATGCTTAGTAACTGTAAGAAGGCCAATTCTCACATTACTCCCAGGAGCACTATTTTGCTCACCTTTTATTCCCCTACTACGCAGCTAGGAATATTCCAGTAGATGCTTTAAAAATGGGTAGATGAATCTTCCAAAATTATTGATGTTTTAAAATCATAAGCAAGGCCCATAAATACTTCTCTTTTTTCTTATCTTGTCAACATGTACATACAAATCAAATTTGTGAAGGAAAAAGAGGAATGTAGTACTCTGATTGTGGGTTAGCAGGAAAGGAATGCTCCTGGAGCACTTGGTGGGAGATTTATTTCCCTGCCAGTACCCACGATGCCGTGGGTTACGAGCCACTTATTTCTGGAAGTATCAGAAACTCCATGTGTCAAGATAGTCAGAGAGTAAGACTTGCCTTCATGACAAAGGCCTTGGTAGGGTTAAGCAGCTGTGTTTAACTGTCCTTTGGGTCATAGATGGAAAACTCCCACTAATTCAGCATCAGCTGGAATGCTCACAGCCTGGCTTTCCTGAATTAACATCACCACAGGCCTATAGCCCCTGCGCCTAGAATGTCACCTGAGAAGAGATTTAATCAGCTTCACAGGAAAACTAAATCATCACTTCTTACCAGGAGGGAATTAACGAGCTGCCTTGCCTCACTCCCTTCCACTGCAGAGCGTGGGGTGGGGGTGGGCCACCCAGGAGGCTTGGCACCCAGTGCTGTCCCCGAGGGGCTGGTGCTTTACATGTCCACCAGGAGAACTGGAGGGTGCTCAGCAGACTGAGGCCTCAGAGAAGAGCTGAGTGAATAGGGGGCCTGACGGTGATGGCGGGGCTGTAAACGCCCACTCTGCCATTTATGGGGCATGTGACCTTAGCCCCTTGCCTTAATTTAAGAGTAGGTTGCCTGGAGTTATTGGCAGGTGTGTGGAAGGTGTGCCTGCTGCCTCTCAGACCTTCACACAGTTCAGCATTAGGGTGGAACAAGAGCAGTAAAATGTAAGAACACACATAGTCATTAGGGCAGAACAGTTGCCCTGAATGGGTGGGATTCGCTCATCTAACTCCTGTTCACCCCCCCGGGCTCCAATGAGTGTGTCCACTTCACCCATAACCTGACAGCTGCCCTGAGAGGAGAAATCTTTTCTTCTGACTCCTGTGGCTATTTTGCGTCCACCAGTGGCACCACCCTGTCCAGGAGGATTTGTCTCCATGCCTGCCTGGCTGCGCTGCCGTTAATCTTCAGTGCTTTGCAGAACCCTTCTCCTCCCGTCCCCCACTGGAGATTTGCCCACTGACAAATCTTTCCCATTCACGCCATTTTCCTGGCAAAGACATTTGATCTAGGGGGCGATGTCACCTCCAGTGAGTAGACAACAGGCTAAAAATGGCTCTGTCTCACCAAAGATGAGATTCTCTCTGCTCACTTGCAGCTAAATCCTGCCCCCAGCTGCCCTTACAATCAGAGTTTGGTTGCAAACTCTCAGCAGTGTCTCAGTGCTCCCCAGCTTCTCCTTCCAGGACGGTGGGGGGGCGGGCGGGAAAGCTGAGCCATAGTTCCAGGAGTGGCCACTAGCAATCCCATGGGTGTTTCCCCCAAGTTGCATGGGTGACCCTTAGCTGGCATCCTGCTCTGACACTCTTTATCATTAGGCCACCAGGCATCTCAGGCACCAGGGCCCCAGGGCTCCTGTGATGGGACCAAGGCGGGTCTTTCACCAACGTACCTGGGCTCTGTGCTGTCCCTCAGGTGGAATCCAGCACTCTCGAGCCCCTGTCACACAGGTCACTGGTGACGAATCGCTAAGCACCCAGGGGGACCCAGGGCACCATTTGAAGGAGACTAGTCCAGTTGGAAGAAATAGAACTGGCAAAAGCAAGAAAGTGGAAAGGATATGGCATGTGATCAGCGGGACATTTGAGCATAATAAGGTGAGGGTGGGGGACAGAGGCAAGTGGCACAGAAGGACTCCGAGCAGCTTGGGGAGGCTTTGTTGGCCCAGTGGAGGGTCTCAGACTTTTTCTTTCCCGTGCCACCCAGGGCTACTGTGTGTGGCACACCTGCTGCAGGTGGACAGTGTTGCAGAGAGCTACCGTTTCTACCCACATGAAGCGTGTCCTCTCATGGAAGACACAGACGGTAGTCAGGTCACCCAAATGTAACATCTCCGCAATCCGAGTTCTTGAGCAGGACAATGACGTGATCTGTTTGTGTGTCCAGAAGAACTGGAAAGGAATTCCAAGGGAAACCAAGCCTACAAGATATTTCATGAGTAACCAGACAAGGGCTTGGGAAGTCTGTGGAGGAGCTAAAGGAAAAAAGCATATTTGGGGTGCAGCCCAGATGGGATAAAAATTGGGACAGTGGGCGATTTTGAGTTGGAGATGCTAACTGGGCTGCCCAGGTAGAGATGAAAACATGAGGGTTTGGCGCTCAAGAGAGATGTCTGAGCTGCCAGTACAGTCAGCAGTCATGGGTGTGTCGGGGCACCGTGCTGGTGGGGCACACCACCTGCGGGGAGAGTTCATTGCCCAGCTGGGGCCAAACTGAGAAGCTCGTTTCCAGAGCATGGACATGGAGTTCTCGGTGAACTCCCGGGTCCTTTTCACTAACTGACCGTTCATCAATGTAATAAATATCCTGAAAAGCTGTCTTGGTCCTGAGAAACTTGCGTGCTTTTTGTTCCCACATAGACATTGAAAGTTTGGGTTGTTTCTCTTCTTGCTTCAGCTGCCAGGAAGCTCAGAGCTAATTTTGTAACTTAACTTTAGAAACCATAAAGGACCTGCATCTCCAGATGCTCTTCCCAAGTAAACACATTGTATGTTTGTGTACTTTCCAGCCTTGATTTCTTTCTTTTAGATACTCAGGAAGCTGCCTCAGATCCTTTGTAAGATCTGGTGAGGTGTAACTGTCTAAAAATAAGTATTCCCCTCACCCTAAATTTTTTGGGTCATGCTCACCACCCTTGTGCAATAAGCCTGCCCAGTTGCTGAGCTAATATTGGCCCAAGGTAAGCAGGAGCAAATCTTGGAATTTACAGCAGCCAGACAGTGCATTTAACACTCACGTAACTCATTAAAACAGGATAAAAGTGGAGCTTCAAACATCTCTGTGTTTGCCACCAAATCTGTGAAGGGAGGGGTACCTTTAATTCAGTGCAGGCTCTAAAAGTCTGATCTTTCAGAATCAAGAATATGCCACTGAAATTAAAAGACATGTCGGTGTAGATGAGCACTCCAGAAACCTTCAAAGAAGGATTGAGGTGTTGACTACAAGGATGGGGGTGTTTTTTAAGCTCAGAGTGTCATTTTCTTGACTCGTAAAATGTAGTTTGGTAAAAGCAAACTTCCTTGTCAAGCAGCATGAACACAAAGTCTGTGAGGTGGGATATCTTATTTTTGATCATCCCTCTATTTTAATATAAGTAAAATTTTTAATTAAAATCTCCTATTGGTGAAGGTCTCAGTGTCAGTGGTTTGCAAACTGTGTTCCGAGGCTGGTGCCTGAGGGGCTGCGAAGGTGCCGTCAGGGAGGGAGAGCCTGGCACCCAGCCGCGCCCATCCCTGCCCCCGGCTCCTCTCCAGCACCCCCAGCTCCCACAGTGCAGCTGGGCTCTGATTCACAGAGCAGCCTCCTCTACGTAAGAGGCTGTCTGGGGAAAGCCTTCTCAAGGGGGAAGGTTCAGCATTATCCAGTTGGTGTGCACCCCATCATCCCCTTGCAGTGGGGTCGGGATGGTGCTGAAATGGCCGGGCTGCACCGGGTGAGAGTTGGCATCCGACTTTCGGTTCCCACTCTGCCTTCTACCAGCTCTGTGACTTTGGGGTTGAGTTTTCCTCTCTGCCACAGCTTCTTCCTCCATAGCCCAGATGGCCCCTGAAATTAGTAACCAAGTCATCCAGGTAAATCAAGTAGATACGTTAGCGGGTGTGGAAGGCCGCCCAGTGCCGCCCTCGCTCCACCCTCTAACTCTCCGTCTCCGCTTCCTAGGAGGAGCCGATCACCTTCTGCGAGGAGGCCTTCGTGTCCCACTACCGCTCCGGGGCCATGCGGCAGTTCCTGCAGAATGCCACCCAGCTGCAGCTCTTCAAGCAGGTGCCCACTGCCCCCCCCCCCCCCCCCCCGTGTGCCTGGTCTGCGTCTGCATTCCTGGTGGGGGCCGGCTGTCTCCCGCCTGCTGAGCTCTGGGGCTACAGTCATGGCTGGGGCCGGGAGGGAAGGGGGACCAGCCCAGACTGACCCTTTGCAATTGGCCATGTGGCTTTCACAAGTGATTGCAAACACCCGACCGGTTTCTTAGAAACTTGCTGTCTGAAAACCGCTCCGAAGGCCCTTCCCAGCTCTGGCGACACGGCTGTGCTTTGGTCAGACCCCAGGGTACCTCCTGTTTCTTTGTACACACTGTCGTGCTCTCCTTCTCTCTTCCCGTAGTTCATTGATGGCAGATTAGACCTTCTCAATTCCGGTGAGGGGTTCAGTGATGTGTTTGAAGAGGAGATCAACATGGGCGAGTACGCAGGTGAGAAGCTCTCCACTGCTTGTCCGGGCTGTGGGCTGCGTGGGGGGCAGGGTGGGTTTCACGAGGGCTGGGAGTGCCTCTTTTACTTCACTGGGGTGTAGAGACTGATATCAGCCTTGGCCTTGAAATGCAGGAAGGTTATTGAGCTCATTATTTTAAGGCACATGGGCCCACCCGAAACCCTCTGTTCTTGCTTCCCCGGTGAGCGAAGTCTAGTTAGCACAGCATCAGCATGGAGCAGCGGAAAGCAGCTGAGCTCCAGACTCGGAGGCCTGCAATCCAGTCAGGCACTGCCCCTTCACTAGCGGCGAGGACTTGATGGAGCCCCTCCAGCTTCGCTCTCTCAGCTCACTTTTCCTGTCCATGCCCCCCAAGTGCCCGCCCTGAAGGATTCTTGCGAGGACTGAGTCAGGCCCCCTGAGGACAGACCACCCCGGTTCCCTGCTCCCCGATCACCACACAGCCTCTGGGCTCTGAAGACCTTACAGCCGGAGAGAGCGTGCTCTCATTATTCAGAAGCCTGCTCTGGCCTTCTGCTTCCCCGGTCCACAAACCTCAGTCATGGGCAGCAAAGACAAAACGAACTGCAAAAACATAACTGTGTGGCTGGGCCTGCTTATAGCTGGGCATGGCGCTGGTCTGGGCTGTTCTGATGATCCAGCTGGAGGCTCCTGGCGTCATCGAGCCGGGCATGGTCTCCACCTTTCAAATGTCCTTTCACAGCCCTACCGGCCTCTCCCAGAGGGAGAGCACAATTAGTCGACACAACTAGTGTGAGGAGTGTGGCCAGTAACACTGGACCCTTGAAAAACAGGTCCAGAGCCCCGGGTCTCACTGTACAGTAAGAAGCGGAGGGCCCCGCTCTGCCTTCAAGTTTTAGACTAGCAGGAGAAAGAAATGCATAACTAAAGACAAATACAGCCAAACCAACACAGAGTGCGGTGGGTGGAAACAGGCTTCCGTGCGCTCCCAGGCGCTGTTAATTCTGGCTCTCTAAGTGACAGCTTCACACAGGAGCCAGGTTTGAGTTAACAGGCAAACAACTGAAGCGGGGTTCGGGGGAGAAGACGGACTTCTGGTGGTGCTGAACTAAGTGGAGTCATTTGGGGCTTCTAGAAAAGCGGTCTGCCGATAAGACCTCCCAGCCCACCCGGCAAAATGAACTTTTGAGACTACGCCTCTTTTTACCCGGTCACCGGAGTGCATGTCCGGCAGCAAGCTCACCCCGTGGGCCAGCGCCCCCTTCCTGCCCTGCGGTCATGCGCAGCTTCAGAGGATGTAGACTTCTAACTGGGTGTCATTACCCCAGAGGGCTGTTCGGAGGAAGCCCTGTGTTAACTCCTCGGCACGGGAGATAGTTCTTATGGTTGGGCCGTAAGATGGACTGAATGAGAGGACAAGGATGGAGAGGCAGAAGGCAGATGGTGGGGACAGCAGCAGGGTTGCTTGAGGGGCCTGCCTCCCTCCAGTGGGCCGTGGGGGGATTAGACTTGTACTCAGGCACCGGTAGACTCGGATAGACTCAGACTTCTAAGAAAGAAAAGCTAGCCGCTGCCTCCTTCGGGGAGCGGCCCGTGGGCGCCTCCATGTGGCTCTCCAGAGTCTGAACCTCACCAGTCCTGCCTGCTGAAAGCAGTTGGAGGGACTCCTGAGGGCACCCTGTCTCTTCTTTAAACAGCAGCTTCTCTGACCCCTCTCTCCCCAGGCAGTGACAAGCTGTACCATCAGTGGCTCTCCACCGTCCGGGTAAGTGCGCGGCCCGCACGGCCACCTGGGCCCCTCCCCGGCTCTCTGGCAGCCTTCCACTTCCCCTGCCACCCACGAGGCTGTCATTAGGCCTAAAGCATTCCATTCTCTCAGCTGAAAATGGTTTTGTGTGTAAGCCCAGCCTTTCTCATGCCAGGCAGAGACTGGCAGCATGAGACCATCCAACACCGCCCCCTGCGAGGGTGGAGAGAGCCAGGAGGAGCTTCCCTGGCTCAGGAAGCCGGCCAAGGCCGGCTGCACGGATGTTGTCATCCTAGGGCCTTTCTGAGGCTCTTCTAGGGCCAGGGCAGTGGGGAAATTTCATGGGAAAATCAAAAATGTGTCCCTGTCGCTGTTTTACAGTAATTGTCACAGGAAAGACTCCAGGGAAGATGGAGAAAATACCCATTGTTTTTACCTCCTTGCTGTTCGTGGGAATAATTTCTTGTGTCAGTACCAGGTGCCTAGAGCCTCAGCAGCACTAAAAAATTCCCATTCGGGACTTTCCCTAACTTTGACTGACCAGTGTAGCCCTACTACGTGCCTGGCGCCATGCTGGATTCTGGGGCTTGGGCGGGGTTTGGACAGGCCCAGCCTGGGGTGCTCCCCGCCCTGCTGGGGGAGGCGGCAGGTAAACAGGCAGCTCTGACACAATGTGATAGGTGTTCTCTCCGGCCTGCGGGCCAAGTGCAGGGCCGCCGAGGCGGGCCCCTGGGAAGCGGCGGTGCTTGGCCAAGAAGCAGCAGTTCCTCTGTGAAAGGCTCCTTTTGTTCTCCTGTGTGACCAAACACGGCACTTGGCAAATCGCAGTCCAGCAATAAGGACTTGTTGATGGATTGATCAAGGGAGTTTTAATACTCCAAAGGACCATTGAAATAGGATACTCGCTAATTCTGGAAAGCAGTACGGAATGAGTGAGTGGGAAGAATTTCATATTGTCCTACAACAGGACGCTTTCTAGGTCAAGTGGTAATGTTTTTAATTAAAACTCAAATTTCTAATGCAGGCAGTTACCCAGGACTGTGCTCCAAGTTAATATCAATAAGTAATTACATTACTGTAGCTAATTCTTTTATGTACCCCCTGGATCCAGTCTGTCTCTCTGTTGAATCAGTCGGAGTTCTTTTTCCAAACCTCCACAAAGCATCTTGTGCACGTGATTAAAGCCCTTTTAAAGGGGTGGTCCTGACTCTTGCCCTGCACGTGACCCAGTCTGTCCACCTCGATCACTCATCCTCACGACCCAGCCAAACCCTGAAACTTTGAAACCTGCACTTTTCACCATGTGCTGCTGCCCGCCCCACTGTGACGGCTCATGGACCAGGCCAGACCTTCCCTCCACTGAAGCCGTCCCTGACCTCCCTGACAGGAGGCTGCCTCCACATTCTGTGTGCACAGCCAGAACGGCTCTCGTCATTCTACGGTGCAGTCCCTTGCCCCAGTGCACCCCTCAGACTGGAGGTCTTCAAAGACGGGGACCAGCTCCCCTCAGAGCCTGTCACAAGAGTCCCACAGAGTGCTCCCATCACAAAATGTGCGGAGGGATGAGACTGAGGGACGGGCCCTCGAGCAAACGTGACACTGGGCTTCGGCCGGGGAGCTAACGAAATGACAGACGGCGGCGCACAGCCTGCCCGCTCGTCGCCTCCTCGGTGGAGGGGAAAGGCCCTCCCTCCTCACCTCCCCGCCCCGCTCTCCTAGAGAGTCCTGTTAGATTTCTACGAAAGCCGTGGTTGACATTTGTGGTTGCCCAGTCTTTTCTCTTCTTGAGGTTAGATGTTAAGTAAGGCAGCCTAGCAGAGATTTTAAAAAACAGGAAAACCAGGGGAGGGGCGTCTACTGAGTGTGCCAGACGGCCCCGGCGATCAGGCCCAGGCTTGGTGTCAGCGGTAGAGTTCACTGTTACTAAGCCTGCCTCACCCTGGTCGGCGGTAACGAGAGTTTCTTGAAGAGCCGTAGATGACTGTGGGTCACTCCCTGCCCGAGAGAGCCTGTGATGAGCTTTCCTTCCAGGCAGGATTCAGGTGCCAAGCAAAACACTGGGCCTCGAGGCCCCCCTCAGCTAGTTACCCCCTGACCCCCAGCCTGCCCCGCCGCCATTTCCCACCCGTGGCCATTGTGCCACAGCCGTAACTAATTGCCTGGGCCAAGTTACCATCTAGGACTGTTTCTCTAATTAAATCACACACTCTTAAAACGTTGCTCAACTTGATTAAAGAGAAGAGGGCTTTGTTGGTGTTGGCCTACTATATCTTCAGTCCAGATTGCTAATTGACATTTTTATTACAGAAGGGAAGCGGAGCCATTCTGAATACCGTAAAAACAAAAGCAAACCCGGCCATGAAGACTGTCTATAAGTTTGTAAGTATTGGCCTCAGGACCCAGACAGGCCTGGTCCTTCTCATGACGAGACCCTGCCACAGACCTGGTCCTATACAGTGGAGGTGATCACGGGGCTGCGGCCAGGGGAGCGCTCAGCGCTCTTAGTGTTGCTGTTTGGCGGCCAGGCCAGCACCACGTTTAATGTAAGGTGTGGCTGCCCACAGTTGCCGCAACAGTTAAATGGGAGGCTGCTGGACAGAGCTGTTCCAGTGGACAGGGCGGCTAAACTTCTCCACGTCCACGCCCCTGGCCAGGAGGCTCGGGCTGTTGGGTGTCCCGGCCTCCCGCTCCACATGCACCCCCAAAACGATGTCAGGATAAAGCAGCTCCTTTGCAGGTTATTCATGTGCTCGTGGGGGGCACTCCCCCTCGTTTTGGCCCTGAAGTCTTCATCGTGTCTCTCATCCCTGCCCTCCAGGAAATGCATTGTCTGTGAAACTCGTGCCCAGAGCAGAGTGAACATAGAACACGGCCCTTCCCGAAGCTCCATCTTTGACAAGCCTCAAGTATTTTTTCTCCTGATTCCTTTCGCTCGCTCATTTGACTCTGAGCCACTAAGTGGGGTGGTTTTTGTTTGGGGTCCTTTTTCAACTTGGATAGCCCTTTATGTGCTTGAATTACAGTTATTTTAACAAGGCAGCTGGCTGCCCACAGAACCACATAGGTCCACAGTGACACAAAATCCAAACCAGGCCTCAGGGCACGCCAAAGGCCACGTGGCAGGCCAGGCGAAAGCCGGGCAGAAGCTGGTGTGCGCCCTGCCCGGCGAGGCATAGTGGGCACGCTGAGCCCCGCAGCCAGGGAAGCTGCTGCCCCCCACTTGCTGGTCGCTGTCACCAGGCTCTGAGCTAAGCAGTTACGGAGAGCGGAAGAAGGGCTTCAGGAGGGGGAGAAAAGTCGGTACCATCAAAATGCAGAAAATAAAATCTCCATAGCCTCCTTCAGGTTTTTTTTTTTTTTAACCTTTTAACGGTGTGTTTGTTTTCATCGCCATTATGTTTTCAACTTGATGATCCCGTTTCTCCTTCCTTTTTCTAGTAATCAGAGAAGGTGATTCGCCACGGACTGAAATCAAGCATAGTCCCTGCTGGAAACAGAAAGGGAAATCTTAACTTAAATTAATTTTTCATGCAGGCAAAAGATCATGCAAAAATGGGAATAAAAGAGGTGAAAAACCGCTTGAAGCAAAAGGTACTTGAAGTTCTTATTCAAAATGTATAAGCACCGTGTATGAAATGCGTGGCCACAAAAAAGTATGATGTGATCAATAGAAGACTGTTTGATACAGTGTTGTTAGCACACTTCAAAATGCATTACCAGCTGTCCAGGCGTTTTCACACTGTTATAAATATTCACAGACAAAAAACTGTCTTCAAATAACATTAAGACTCTGGCTTAAACCCACAAAGGCAAAGCCAGTTCAGAGTTACCACTGTCTGCTGGTTCCTGGCCCACCCCACCGGGTTGAGGTTCACCGGGGCCCTAGAAATTGGCTTGGCCCACCCCCCCCCCGCCTCGCCCCCCACTCCTCACCCCGCCTCTGAACTCTGCCCTGAGGATGGTTATAGCCAAAACCCAGCAGCCCTCCAGGGAAATGACTGCTGCCTTCTGGCTTTCAAGTTGCCACCAGACCCAGGGCACAAAGGACAGGTTTGAGGAGGGCGCCCCCAGCGCTAGTCACAGGGTGGATTCACCAAGGGGCGCCCAGCGGGTCTCACCTGAGCTACTGGCAGTACAGGGAGAGGCAGATTGTCTTCTTGGGCCATCAGTAAAGTGACACGCAGTCCCACCAGCCACATCCTGCCTGGGTCCCCGGATCGTTTCCTCAAGGCCTGCACAGTGAGGCTAACAGCGTGCGGAGGGGAGCTTGCGATACTGGGGACCCAGCCCCCCTCGCCAGTGTGGCCGCCCTTTCTGAAGGCTTGTGAAGGGGGCCAGGCTGGAGTGCTCACATTTAATCCTCAGAAAAACCCTACCCGGAACTCGTCCCATTTCACGGTGGGAGACTGTAGTTCCAAGGCCCAGTAGTTTACTCAAGGTCACACTGTTTAATGCAGGTGAGGCCTGGATGCGATTCCAGATGCCTCTTGGCCAGCCAGCCTCCATCCTGACCACTATGGCCTTCCTGAAACAAGTGCTTTGTTTTCCAGAAGAAGGTTGGGGTCACTTCCTTCATTATCCCATGTGTCCTACTCCCACCCCCAAAGTACCAACTCTTAAAAGAGACTTTGTCGATCTTGGAGCTTCTTTCCAAAACATGGAAAGCAGCTTATGAAGTCAAAAAAGGCCTCCGATTAACTCGATATGGTCGAAGGAATTGATTCCCCTCTTAACTGCAAAATAGTTTGCTCCAAGTAGTTGAACTCTGAGTTCCAGCTGAGAGTGAACTTGGCACGGCTGAGGGTCAGGTCCTGCAGTAGGAATCCTGTAATGCAACCCAGTAGGCCTTAGCCGTGGCCCGCTGCACCATGGGCTGGCAGGCAAAAGTCTTCCCTTGAGTGGTATTTAAGTCCCAAAACAGGCCTGTCGTCTCCCGTGTCCGGTCCCAGGTGACTGGATTGCAGATGTGAATGGGGTGGTGAGGAGCAGGGAGTTCTGGGGGTTCCTCTTCGGGCACAGAGCACATACTTCCTCATCCACCCCCTACCCCCCATTGCCGCCCTCCTCATACATATAAACCTTGGACTTCAGAAAGTCTCCTTTCAGCCGTAACACCTCCTCAAATAGCCCCAAAGCCATCCAGAGTACCCCACCCCCGCGCCTGCTCCCTTCCCTCCCTTGGTAGCGTCTCTGGCAGACTGTTCCCTCCCCTTCTCTTCCCCCTGCCAGTCTTGCCAGGAGTAGCTTCAGGAGATAATGTTCTACAGAGAGTGTCAGTCCATTTCAGGTGACACACACGGTGAAGGCATTTTATAGAAATGTGGCTTGTCACCATCGGACTGTTGACAGATCTATTAGTGCACCCTTTTCAATTTTCACTTTTCCCCCCCTTCAGTCTTACAGATTTCCAGGGACTTGATATGTTGCAGTTGTTCCTGGAAGAGCTCTGTTGTCATTGAAACTCTAGCACTGTTCAGTGCGGACAGGCCTGGGTCCCTCCGCTGCCTCCCCGGCTCCCTTGCCGGAGCTAATTTAGGATTTGGCTCTAGCTGACCCCTCTCGCTACAGCAGAAAATATTTCCTTGGCTTTTTTGTTCGCTTCCCCTTTGGCCCTTTCCCCTTTATACAGCGACCCATCTCTGTGGCTCCCCGGCTGTGTGGAGCGCAGACATCTCAAGTTGGGATTCTGCAATGAAATCGAGGCAGTTCCCAACAAAGACCCAATTTTCAAATGTGCCGGACTGCCCCCTGGCCGCCTCCAACACCGCAGAGCAGTGGTGACCCCGCAGATATAATCAAGAACCCCATCTTGCCCTCTTGGCTCTCGCCTTGGGTTTGAATTGCAAATAGAAAGCGTGGGGCCGACCCGCGGAGAGGTCACCCTGGTGTGTGGCGAGCTGGGCCCCTCTCCAGCCCTTGCTCATTTGTGCTGCTGACTTTGAAAGGCTCTGAAAGAGGAGCTTCCAGGGTCCCTGTGTGACCATCGGCTCATAATTGTGAATAGAGACTGCGGTGGGGCTTTATCGCATACCTGCTCGCTCCAGCCCAGCACAAAGGAGGAAGGATGGAGAAAAGATTTCTCAGGATAAATGGAGCCGGGCAGCCAAGTTCTTCTCTGACTTGGTCTCCTTTGAAGTCTGACTTCCTCGAAATTAGGAAGAGGAAGAAATGGCTGAGCTGCTGCCCAGCCGGCTGTCTAACGAGGAGGTTGAGCTTCCCCGGAGCCTCCTGGCTGCCCAGAGAGTGTCACGTGACCGGCCTGTGCCTGTCAACAAACGGCAGCAGGCCGGGCAGGCCGGGCAGGGCCTCACCCACCAGGACGCCCTGCTGGGGAGGGCTGGCCACGCTCACTCGCTTCCTCAGGAAGGGGCGTTAGATAGTCACCCTAGACATCATCCTTGTACCTGTTGGGGAACCCCTGAATAATTACCTTTTTTCTTCATTTTCAAAATGGTGTCATGGACCGGCCCCATTTCCAGCCCCTCTTACTGCTTCTCCATCTTTGACCTTGAAAAGACACCTCGGCCCTGTTGATTTAGAGTGTCCGTGGTTGAAAGGAGCAGATTCACAGCTGGGTTAGCACAGGCCTGGGTTCGGGCCCAACACTTCCAGCGTAGTGAAGAGCGTGAGGGAGCGTGGGGGCGGGGTGATCCAGGTAGGCGCTGGTGGAATAGACGTTTTCACACCTCATCACACAACTGTCAGCTCCCTGTCTCCAGACACATTCAAGTACAGCCCAACCTCCATCGCAGAAATCCTGACTTTGGATACTATTTTGATATCAGTATTCATACTTTAATTTTGCATTTGCTGTGGTGTGAAGTGGGGGGGGGGGCGGCTTCCGAGAATGGAGAGCAGCAATCCAGGTCAGAGGGTGAGGCCTCTGCTGGCCGGGAGGCTGTGGGTTCCGAGCAGGCTGCAGTGCCGACCTTGTGGCACGTTCTCTGTGTGACCTTGGGTGAGTTTCCAGGCCTCTCTGAACCTGGCTTTTCTCATCTGTGAACGAGGGAATAAGATTTTCACTGAGCGGTTGGAAGAATTGGAAGAGGCGCTGGGTTTAGACGATACTTGGTAGTGGGAGTCTCTAGTCTGCTGGTTTTCTCACGTCCCACATCTGGAGCTCCCCTGTGCGTGTACCCAAGGATGTGGCTGGCTTGGGGTCCCCTCCCTGCTGGCCACCCACATAGCCCTCAGCACAGCCTTTCTGGAAACACAGCTCTGACTGTGTCACTTCTTGGGTAAAAGCTCTCCTATCTCGCAAACCTTTCTCTCCTTGACTGGGGGTCTTGGACTGCTGGGGCCCCTGCCCACCCTGGACCCTTCTCTCTACCGCCCCTGGGCTGGGACTGCCCTGCTCTCCTCACCCCGGCTCCCCAATCTTGCAGCTGCTCTGAGCCCAGAGTCCATTCAGGGCCCCTTCCTCCTCTGGGTTCCTGCGTCGTCCTTCCCCAGGGCACTCTGCTCAGGACTTACCATACGGACAGGCCAGACCTTGGTCATGATTTGGGGTTCCCGAGAACGCTTAGGAAAGGAGATAGACGTGGACCCTTTCAGGGCTCTGTTTTGTTGAGGGGTAGGCGCTGGTCATATAGCTGGCGGCCTCAGCCCTGCTGCTGTCTGCGGTCTTCCTCCTATCACCCCTGGGAAAGGAACAATCTCCCCTCCTGTCAGCTTCTCAGTGTTGCTTTTCCTTAATGACATTTTTTCTGGTTACAAACAAAAACGCATGTTTATCAGAGAAAATAGAGAATCAAGACAAGCAAAAAGAGAAAGAATCCCATTTTATAAACTATGTTTTCACTTGTTATGTCCTGGTTTTACAAAGCTGCACACAGTTTGAGCTGATGATCACGTAGATGTGATGTGACCCCCATTGTTGGATACTTCAGTTAGTTCCAACTTTTTTCTGGGCAGATGTTCTTGTAGGTAAAACTTTGCAGGAATTCTTAATCACGTCACCAGAATAAATGTCTAGAAATGGAATTCATGGGTCAAAAGATGTACCCTTTTTAGGGTTTTGATATAAATCACCAATTTGTTTTCCCACGAGGCAGGTGTGTGAAGGCCCCTTTCCCCTGCCCTTTGCTGGCACCATCTCTGATTGTTTTTCTGGTTTTGTTTTGTTTTGTTTTTTAATATTTTTTATTTACCCATACAAGAACTGGGGTGCAGGCCAGAGGTGTGGGGGTGAGAGGATTCGCCAAAGACAGAAGGGGGAGCACAATAGGCGAATCGACTGAAATACACTGCTGAGGTAAGCAGTGGGCAAGACAGGAGATGTCACCTCCCTGGCTGGGATCGAACTTGTGCTGCTGTGACTGCAGCTAGCTTCATAGTGCTGCGCTTTAACCCCTTAGGCTACAGGGAGGACTCTCAGTTCTTAGACCCCTTTCTTTCTTCATGAAAGTTGCTGGTGTTGGCTTTCCTATGTGTCAGATCTCTGTTTGCAGAGATCTGTTTTCCCACGAGGGAGAAACTCTTTTGTGGGCCCTCCCTGGTGGCGCAGCAGGTTAAAAGCACAGCACTAAGAAGCTAAAGCCACTTCCGCATGGGTTCGATCCCTGCCCTGGAGGTGACCCACATGGCGCGCAGACCTCTCCTTACCCACCCACTGCTCCCCTCAGCAGTGTACTTAGTCAGTCAGCCTGTTCTGCTCCCCACTCTGTCTCTGGTGAATCCTCTCACTGCCCCTGCAGCTCTGGTCTGTACCCCAGTTCTGTATGCATAAATAAATGAGTCTTTAAAAAAAGTCTTTTGCACCTTTGGATCTTGCAACGCAGTAAGATGAATGTGAGCTCTGTTACTTGATACAAACCTGGTTGCTTATTGGACACATTTACCTTCCAAGTATTCCACTCCACTTCCAAAGCTTTATTGTAGAGCAGGTAGTAAGCACAAGACTGAAGCACGGAGCCAAACCCGAAGAAATTCACAGTGTAGGGAGTAGAGCGATCCATGCCCAGGTCATAAAGCGCTGCCCATGAGGTCAACGTAATAAAGGGGCAGGTCACTTCTGGTGGCTGGCGAAGCCTTCCTGGGCCACGATGCTACTGGTGCTCTTGTTTTGGCCTGTTCGGCAGAAATCACAGTGTGGGGTCCTCCACTTTCCAACCGTGTGGCCCTGAGTAAGTTACACCGTTGGGCTGTTTCCTCACTTAGAAGCGAAGACTCCTATTTACCGTGGAGGTGCACTGGAAGCTCAGTGTGCGCGCCTTCAGCGGTGGCTCAGCATTGGACGCGCGCCACTTTAGGGGGGTCTTTCTAGTTCACAGGGGGCAGGATCCCACCGTCCATGTGCACAGGACTGGAACGCTCTTCAAAGCTTCCTCACATCTCATCTCATTAAGCCCATTCTCCCAAAGGCTTTGAACTTCCCTAAGCAGGTGGTGGTCTCCCCATTATAAAAAAAAAAAAGAAAAGAAATAGATGAAGAGAGGTTGAGTGAATTAGAAAGATCAGATAGCTAGTTAATGATAAAGTCAAAACTAGAAGACTGTTTTTACTTATAAGCTTAAACTAAGACACTTTCCCCAACACGATCGCATACATCTTTTCAATAGTCATCATTGTATAATTTTTATTAATAGCAATATTTTATTGCCTTACAGTTCTATTTCTTCAGTCATCCACACATGTGCAAACCATCCTTCCTGAACAAAATAGTGAATTTGATTGCTCTTTGGCAAAATCTCTCACTGTCTGTCCTCTTGATACCCCACCCCCACCCAAAATGCTCATTTGCCCTTTGTTACTGTCTGGTGTAGAAGGAACTTGCTCCCTCTTTGTTCCTCTTGACCCAAGTACCTTAGGGCAGCTCTTTTCCAAAAGAGTCTTTTTTTTTTTTTTTTAAGATTTATTTATCTATGTGTACAGAACTGAGGTACAGGCCAGAGGTGGTAAGAGGATTCACCAGAGACAGAGTGAGGAGCAGAACAGGCCAACTGATGAAGCACACTGCTGAGGGGATCCGTGGGCGGGACAGGAGAGGTCCGCTGTGCCGTGTGGGTCACCTCACTGGCCAGGGATTGAACTCTTGCTGCAGTGGCTGCTGAGAGCTTCATAGTGCTGCACTGTAACCCGTTGCACCACCAGAGAGGTCCTAAAAGAGCCATTTCTAGTTTGCTGATGGCAGCCTCTCTTTCATCACTGAACCTCAGCCAGGCTCCATCTTGCAGTCTGCTGGCCACAAGAGGTCACGGCCAACCTGTGTTGTTACCCATCGGTGCATAGTCTGCAGCTGAATACACGGGCAGTGGATGGAGGGGTGGGTGGTTCTATCCAACTATAGACAGATTTATATGTGTAAATTCATGCACACACTAACTCACTTTCTCGGCACCACTTATAGTACATTGTTGAGTGATAATATTCTAGACACTTTCATGTTTCATTATCTTCTTGCCTCCTAGCTACCATATTCCTATTTTGCATATAGGGAAACCGAGGCTCAAATCTGTTAACCTGTGTCTGTTCCTTTATGCATTATTCAATAAGTGAACTGTTTCCCTCATGTGCCACTGATTTGAGAACTTATGAGCAACCCACGGACATATCTTAATGTGCAAAAATTAATGAGTGGTAAGGACATGTAATTAGTTGACCAAAATGGTCTTTGTTTTTGCAGTGAAAGGAATTTGGAAATTGTGATTTCATTCTGGTTGTGAGTTCTTTTTACTTGGAAAAAAAAATTATGATTTAAATGTTTTTCATTTGTATATTTATTCTCTGCCTTGCTCCGGGGAAGATTTGAGCAACTTCCCTGACTTGAATAGTGTGTGGTCCGTAGCATAGAAGTGGGCGCCATCCAGGTCCCCAAAGCCCTCGGGCAGAGTCCGCTGCCAGCATGGCTAGCTGAAGGAGCGTTTGCCTGCCTCTTGCACTTTGGGGTTTTCCTTTCCTTGTAGTTGGATTTTACTCACCAAAAGCACAAGTTGACTGTGAATTTCCAAACTGAAGGAAAATGGCTTTGATTCCCTAGATTTTTCCCAAGTCATAAAATCCTAAGTCAGATTTCAGTCTCTCCATTCTCTGCCAGAAAAACAAGGGAGAGGGAGCCGAAACGCAGCAGCTGATAAACAGTAACATCACCAGTAAGCAGACGAGGAGAAAATGTCCTCGCTCACAAATAATCAAAGTCAGCAAATTGAAAACCACAATGAGGTCTAATTTTTCACCTCTTAAATTAGCGATACATTTTGAAAATGATAAGACTGAGGACTACGTGACATTGATAACGCAGCCACCGCTGGTAGCTGGCGTAAATTGGAAAACAACTTAGTAGAATGAATAAAAAGCCTTTAAAATGTTTCTGCCTTTTGACCTAGTAGTAATTCCATCCCTAAGAATTTCCATAAGAGAAAATACCCCAAAAGAAAGAAAAACAGACATTTATCACTGTAGTGTTTAGAAAGTAAATTAAAACTAGGTGGTTTTTATCCTCGTTGCCCAATAGTAGTGGAAGGCTTTATTAAATCATTGTCTGTCCACTCCATGAAATACTATGCGTCCATTAAAATGATTATGATGATAATGTAGTGCTGTGAGGAAAAATAGAATGCAAAATTATACATGAGCAGAGACTGCAAGTCATTTTTAAAGGTACGTGGACAACATGCATATGTACAAGTGAAATAACACAAAGGTAGACAGAACAAATCCCCCCTCGCTTATGACATCGTCTGTGTACTTTGAAATTTAATGCTTTTCTGATTTGGGTTTCTCTGGTCCTTAAAAAGGCAAAGAGCCAGATAGCCCTCCATATCCTCATCTCTAGCAGAAGGACAGGCTGTGCATAGCCCCCACGGGAGGCTTCTTAGCTGTGGGATTTGGGGGAGCACCTGTGCTCACCATGGGTGCCATGACCCCCACACCAACCCCGACCTGGCTTCTCCCTGTAGGACATCGCAGAGAACGGCTGCGCCCCGGCTCCCGAGGAGCAGCTGCCGAAGACGACACTGTCCCCGCTGGTGGAGGCCAAGGACCCCAGGCTCCGGGAAGACCGGCGGCCCATCACCGTCCACTTCGGGCAGGTACGGACCCGGCCCTGCAGCCGGCCTGGGCTTGGGTTCTTTGTTTTTAAGCAAAGTCTGTAGCACATGCACCAGAGCGCCACAGAGTTTTGTACATCTTCGAATGTTTATTTGCTGCAGACACGTTTGGAAGGGGGTTTTCAAGCACAGAGAGGAGCGAGCGGGCTCTGGTCATAAACTAGCTCCACTCTTGAATGAAGTCATTAAATGCAGCTGCTGCGTCCCCCACTGCCAGGCACTGGGTTTAAGGTGCCTCTGTTAGCTAAGCATCTCATTAGAACACTTCAGCTTCCCAGCCCTTCTTTGCACCTCCAAATAAAAGGCAACAAGCGAAGTCTTAAAGAAATCAATTAGGAGTTCTTTATTAATGTACTTCCTGAAAATCAATATCAGGGAGTCGTGCTTGTCGGCGTAAACACTGGGCTACCTTCCCCGAGAGCCAGGTCTCCAACCAACTCTTTTTGAAAACCTGAGCATTTGAGAAATCGTCTGTGTGTGTGAGGCTTCTCCTCTTAAGTAAAACCTGCTGCCCACTATAGAGCCTGAGTATTTTTAGATATATATTTCCTATCTGTGGCTATATTTTGGGTTGAAAACGATTGTCTACTCTCCCTGCTTCTCTGGAGTTGACTGGAGTTGTCGGATGAGAAATGGTTCTGTTGGGAAGCTGTGACTGACTGTAGTAAGAATTTGTAAAGCTGTTTATTCTGAAATCACCTGGTTCTTTAGATGGAGTGGAGTAAAGTACTCTGATTTTATCATAAATGTGATTGGTATTTTACCACCTAAAGGACTTAGAAACATACATTTTAAATGTTCCTCTTTTTAAGACATTGATCAAGGGCCTACTCTGCGCAAGGCACTGAGCTATTTAAATATGAAGTTATGCAGTGGGCTGTTATTATAAGGGAAGAGTACGTTTGTTGAAGCATAAGAATCTTCCTCGGTAATCAGTATTTTCAGCTAATACATTCATGCATCTTAAACTTGAAAAAGCTTGCCCCCCGTTATGATTTTACTCTTAAAAGCGGTATTTAAAAAATTGAGATGTAGCACAAGAAAGAAGTATCCACGCGGTAGTGCTGATTCGGTTAATGATTATCTTCAAATCGTGGTGTTTGCACCCCCAAAGAGCTGCCTTCTCCCCGTGCCCCACTTCCCTGGCTGTGTTTGCTGAAATCACAGCCCGCATGGCATTCGGGAGCCAGCTTCCTGCTCTCCTTTGTCCTCGTTCCTACGCACACTAACCTTCCCATGAAAAGATCCCTCGCTGGAGTTTGGAGCCCATTACAGAGAAAGAGGGGGCGGGAGAAAGGGATTTCATGGTGTTAAACATTCCATTTTGAAATACAAAAAAGGAGGCCCTATTTGAAATGGAGAAAGACCTTCTTTCCATTTCAGCAAGAAGTAGAGCTGCTTTAATGTCATTCCCAGCTAAATGCAGAAGAGTGTATGTGCATGGGTGGGGGATAAACAATTAAAAAAGCCACCCCAAACTCTGTTGAAATAAGAGCTGTCTGTGCCTTCATAGGTCTGTAAACTGGAGAGGATGAAAGTGGCTTTTTTTCCCCCGTTTGTCACTTCCCTCACGTGGCTGCCAGCATTATGCAAGTGTACAGGAAGGCAGGATTTTTTTTTTAATGCATGCATGCGGATTAAGGTCAAGCCCCCAGTATCAGCCATGCAGCGGGCTGTCCCTTACAGCTGCAGCCACAGCGCCTACCCACAGCCGCGAGATGCCTTAATTGAGACGTGCTGTCAAAGTGACAAACACATTTGCATACAGTCTACACTCTATTTATTTTCTCCGGAAAGGTCTACAGTCTGCTGTTGGTTGAACATTCTTAATCAGTTTGCTGTAAGTGAACTGCCAGCTAGCTCACTTGCGCCGGCCTCTTCTTCATTAGGTGACAGATTAGCTGCAGGGGGATGGGCCGGGGAAACCACCGACCCCTTTCTGTTAACTCTTTGCGGCTTCAGGCCTGTGTGAGGGTGTCCTTCCCCGGCGCCTGGCTTGATGGCCTTGACCCCACCGGCTGGTTGCGAGAGCGCCTACTACTGGCAGAGATCTTTTATTCTTAAAGAACAGAATTCCATTGGAGAAATATTTGCCACACTCTCCTACCATTGTGCGGTGCTGTTCTTCCTGATTATTTTTCTTTAAACAGACTTATACCACTTTTGCCTCCTTCTAAGCCATGACAGTGCTAAATTCATGGGTTGATGTGCTAGTGCAATTTTTTCCCAAAGGCACAGCAAAAGGACGTTCTGTAAGTGCCCAGACACGTGTCACCAAACTGCCCAAGGAGCCCCGGCTGTGTCCATTCCCCCTGGAAAACGTGTGTCATCCCCTGCCTGAAGAAAGGATCTTCGGCACATTTTAGGGACCTAGAGTTGGAGCACAGGGACCCGAGGGGACTGCCCGGCACCACTTGACTACATGACACCCAGGACAGCCTGACCCAGAGCCCGCTGCTGGCCCCTCGCCAGGCAGGGGCTTCAGCTGTTGTGTCTGCGAAAGCTGAGGCACCCAGCAAAATAATTCATACAGTGCGTGCTGACCTCAGAAAGCCCCGGCCGGCCGTGGATTTGCATTTCTGTGGATTGCACTCTCCAAGGACACAGCCTTCCAGTGGGGCTGGCACAGTGACCGCTCCCGGTTGCGTCACTAGTGCCCAGGTAGCTGGCCAGGCGAGCTCCGTGGGGACAGTCTGCATGGGGCAGGGGGCAGGGTGCTGAGGCAGGAGCCGCCTCTGCCAGTGAGGGGGCACTCATGCCTTGCCTGGGGTGGCGCGTCCTCTCTCAAGGCCCAGACCATCTTACGCACCCAGTCACCCACCGGTTGAAAGCTGCCATGAAGTCCTTGTGGGGCATGAGGGGGACAGAGCAGCAAACAGCCAACCAAAACGAGAACAGTGACAGAGAACACTCGGGCGCTCTCGGGGGCCCCACGGAGGCAACCTGCTCGCCCCAACACTGTTCACTTAGCCCCAAGTTGGGCCTGATAATCGCAAAATGTTTTGTCAACAAACCAGGCTCACTAGTGAACCATTTGTCCTCTGTCGCAGAGAGAGGTTCTCCCAGCTTGTGATGACCCGGCCAGTGTTTTAGGACAAAAGCAAAATAAATGGATTTCTAGTTGGCCTCTGATCCTTAGCATGTATGGTTTCCTTAAAGAGGTCAAAAATCTCAAATAAAGTGTCCTTGGAAATATTTAGGTTTAGAGAGGCTTGAAGTAACACTTTTTTCCCCTTCCAAGTTCAAAATCTATTGCAATATAAGGCCCAGGACATAGTAAAATGAAATTAAAATGCCGTAATGTTTACTGACAAGACTGGAAGGGGAATCCAGCCTTAGACATGAGGCCAGTGGTTTTGCTGAAACTTCACCTCCAAGCTAAAGAGACCGAGCTGCCCCACACAGGAGCAGGGCGATGGCAGGGAGACCCAGCCGCCCTCCTGAGCTCTGACTGCAACTTGGAAGGAGCCGGGCTTGCGGGTGGGGCAGGGAGCAGGTACCATGGTTCCTTCTCCCAGACTCTCACGTGGATGCCCGCACAGGCAGGAGTGGGCAAGGGGCCGAGAGAAGCACAGGACTCCCCCCACGCCTCCTGTCTGAGATGGGAGGGCTATTTCCTCCTCCGGTAGCTGTGGATGAAGTGAGGAAGCAGGGCCCTCCCCGCAGAGCCCAGACCCCCCAACCCCTTCTGAGAATCGGCAGAGGTGGCACCCCCTGAAAATGCCCCGCGCCCCGAGCCGGACGGCAGCCACAGGTGCTTTCTCGCCTCTGCTCAATTTCCCTCGGTGAGGGGAAGCAACGTGCCGGTACCACAGACGGGTCCCGTTGTACTAAGACTCGACCCAACTCGGGGCCCCAGCATGAGCTGGTAGCAAATTTAGACTCCACTCTGGGCAGTGTTCTCTCCTTCCTGGCCAGGAGCTGAGCCACCTCGGAACAGGGGAGGGGAGGACACTGCGGTGAACCCACTCCAAGACCCCCTCCCGGGGCTCCCCTAGTTGGTTGATTCTGCCGACCAAATAATTGCGCGCCAGCCTGACAAACTCCTAAAAATGTGCACCTGGAAGGCCCATCCCAATTCTACTAGTCAAGCAAAAGTCTAAACCTCCATGGAAAAGGTTGTGGCCAGCGCAAAGCCCAGGCTGAGCTCAAGAACTGGGTGCTCAGTGCTTTGGAGGACCACCCCTACCCCGCTCCGAGGCTCCCCTGAAGGTTCCTCCTTCCCCCTGGGGGCACGTGGGGCCCTGTCGGTTCTGCCTGTCCACCCTGCGCGCAGACCCCTCTTGTGAATCCTCCCGCTGCCCTGGGAAGAGCTGGTGGCCCCCGTCTTGGTGATTCCCCATTCGACATTATTTCACACAGCTTGCAGTTCCTCCCTGGACGCTTGTCCTCAGGGAGAACACGAGACTCTGAGGAGGCCGCCCCGAGCCTGGCTCCGAGCCAGCAGTCAGTAAGCGAGCGGAGTTTACTATTGATGTATGCGTTTAAATTAATAATTGATTGACTATTGGTTAAGTGCCCGCTGTGTGTCCAGCAAGCTCTTTGGTCTTATTTCAGTCGCTGTGCGTATAATCCTGTGCATTGGAAGGAGTCTAAATATGCCATTAGTAGCCAAAAACTCCTTCCAAATCACTTTCCATAAATAAGGGTTTTGTTTCCAAGTTAGCAACAGCTTTATATTATAGGAATTTAGATACTGTCTCCTTTCATTTTGTATTTTTATGACTAAGGGCTCATAGCAGATGCCCCAAAAGAGGAGAAGGGAGGGGAAGGGCTGGACACCCCCCAGGCTCCCTGGAGGCCAGTGGACCTGAGGGGAGGGAGCTGGGAGAGCACATCCAAGGGCAGGAGAGGCCCAGCAGCCTGAGACTTACTTCAAATAAGACAAAGAATTTATCTGTAAAAGACACTAAGCTGCAGAGCCAAACGCAAAGTGTGAACTTAACTTGGATTATATATTTTTTTTAAATTAAAAGACATTC